CGTGCCAACTGCCTTTAAAAGAGGTTGGCGTTGTGCCAAGTCCACCTCCTCCCTTCCTACAACGCTAGCATCCGCATCGAACAAGTCTGCACAATGGAGATATTCCCAGTCATCGTTTTGAATAATTTTTTTGTATTCAACTAGCTTTTGACAAAACGGTCTCATGCCGCTCATGCGGTAATGGACTTGGCTCCGAAGCCAGCAGCAATACTGTGAAAACACTAGCTCGATAACAATACCAGAAAACTGAAAGAACAATTCCAGTGCTACAGTATCCCCTACAGTTGTGTTTCTCTCTGTCAATCTGACTTCCATTTTCTTTCCTCAGGGCTGACAAACTGTGAGAAGTTTTCTATCTAATGGTTCTCACATTACATAGAACTCTTAATTTCTTTGTTCACAGTTTTGAAGCAATGTCCGCAAACAGCTGACAGCCAAGTGACCGTCATAATTCAAGCCGACCGCAACATCGAGGGAATGATGGACTCCGACATAAATCTGGGTGCAATTCAAAGGTATATTGTGAAATATGGTAACAAACCTTCGGCACGTGCTGCTGCCCCTCTGAGAGATGAAGGTTTTAGCGGAGCCGTGGAAAGACGACCTGCTGGCTTCGGTGGTGTTGTGAACGGCAAAGGTTTCGGTGGAGGCTGAGGATCGAGGGATCGGGATCTGAAAAGAGGCCGATTAAGAATCAGAAAAGTGGAAAGAGGATGACTCACCTCAGATTCGATGGTTCGTCTTCGAAGTTTCGATGTCGTCTTCGGCTGATGTGTTATGCAGCCGAACATTCGGTGGCTAACCGACCGTCTCGCACTGACTGAGTCAACAGGGAGGTCGAAGGGGAGGTCCTCTCTCGCTTCATGAAGAGCATTGACACGACACTTCAAATCAGCTACAACGAACATTGGAGCAGGCAGTTTTTGAATGTATCAGTATTTTTCGCCTTCCGCTCCTCGCATCCATGCAGTGAGCGCGAACTCACACGAAAGAGGAGAGCCACTAAGTTCCTACCCATAAGCCTCATGACTAGGGGCTCAGGCTACCTTTTGAAACCATCTACTCAGATACATTTCTTTTGATAACTCTGCAGTGCAGTGCGATAGATGTTTCAAAAGAGGTAAGTTTGTTCAAAGTGGCGAGTTTTCAAGCGGCTTTGAGGGATGTTTGTTCAAGGATTGCGACGGACACTGCACTCTCTTAAGCTTGGAGAGTGCGCTGTTCAGAAAGTCGATACAAACACCTCGGGAATGGAGCTTATCAGATAGTTACCAAAGGAATACTGCCACAAAATGAAAATGCTTATTGACTGAAGATCAACCTCGCTCCGTGATGGGTGCCAATGGAGCAAAATATAAATATATGTAATATCTTTTTCTCTCAGGATGCTTCAGAACTCGCTGCTCAATGATATCCCGGTAGCTTTTGGCTCACGAATAATCCTTCATTTTCTGAGTAAATAACGAAGTTCTCAAGTGATTGAAGTTTAAAAATCAGAAGATGCCGGTTGTGAGAACTTTCGATTCCTACAAATGGAAAACACTTGCTTTAAGGATCGATTAGAGACGGAAGTGCCATCTTTTTTCAGAACTCGATCGTGCTGTAAGCGTTTTGCAATTAAGATTCTGAGAAGAGCTAAGATTTTTGAATAATTTGTTTCCTGCCATCTAAAAAGCATTGCCAACGGTCGTCGGTTTGAAAATGCTGCGCGGTATTGAAGACAGCGTTGACTTTTCTAGCTTTTTCACGGGTGTTCCGTTCCGCTGATTCCCGTTATATATCCTCTCGCGCCCCGCCCAGACAGCAAAGATTCTTGAATACGAGATACATGGAAAATTTTGCGGAATTATTGTCTAGAATGGTAAGAGATTTGAAAAAGCTGGTAAAAGAGGCAAGACAGTAGATAGAATGGGAACGGGGATCGTATTTTTTGGAACTTTTCTCCAACGGCAGGATCCCTGTAGCGACACATGCCCGCAACATTCATCGAGGTGGCGAGAGGGAAGGGGGGGGTGGTGGCATTGAGAAAGAGAGCATCGAGCTATCGCGAAACTTCTAGCTTGGTTGTTCCAAGCAGATTTTAACCATGAGGAAGGTTCCAGGCAATGCGGCGCCTCTACCCACTGATCCAGCACTGCCTCTTCAGAACGTAATTCTGGTACCATTGGCCTACGAGTGAGGAAGCTGAGGAAGCATGTAAAATAAAGTAATAACAATACTGATATGTACTTATATTTTTGCAGCAACCAGGACATTACCGTTCAATCCCATTGGCCAGATGACACACTGGTGAGTTTCCGAGATCTAACTTTATGTATATCCATGTAATACTTTTATTCCAAGAGATTTATTCAGCCAGAAATGCAACGTTGAGATTATCAGAGGCAAAAATCAGCACCAGCATATCAAAGTGTGGGAACTTGCAACAGGTAAAACAAAATTTGGCAAGCAATTATTGCTTATGGAGAGATTCTGTGAAATCAAGGCGATATTGCACTCATGTCGCTTCTCCCTCAGCTAAGACGAGTTAACAAAATAAAAAGATTTGAGGGTAAGCAACTGATGAGAATTTGGGCAATCAAAAGTAACTTATGAATAAATTAAAATCACTAGTATTGTGGCATTATGGATGGAGTTGAGACTAAAAAGCCTTCACTGAATACTTGGCATTGCAAAATAACTTACTTACAAAGGATCGTCATCAAACAAGGACAAAAGAGGAGCCGCAGGTGAGATAAATGGGCAAAATGTCAGTGACCGGTAAAAGGGCAGGACTATTCGTAGACAATCGTCCATTTAGCCGGTTGCTCGCAGTCGGTTACATCATCGGGGCAAAGACGGCTGAATGTGGTATTCGGAGCAAATCCAAGGATCTCACGATCCTCCTGTATACGGTAGGAAAATGTGGAGACGTGAGTTCCGATAAATGCTCGTGCATGAGCGCATATCCACTGAAACATGATGGAAATTTGCTGAACCCTGACCTAGAGGCAATAAAACCTAATATACCGCAACTCCTCTGAGGTGAGGAAAAACGATCGCTAGCTTTTATTCGCAAAAATAAAAATGAAAAAGCAAAAAACTAACTTGGTCAACAATGGCGACAGCGCCATCGAGCAAATTATCGTCTTGAAATCTCAACACAGGGACTGTCATGAGCTCTTCCAGTTCATCGACTTCAGCGTCGGGAGCATCAGTTGCCAAGAACACGCGGGAAACACCCACTCTCTTGCAAAGCTCGTTCAGCTGAACTCACTTATCTTCACACGAGGAAAGGCAAAAGATATGTCGTATAAGGAGTTGGA